GCTGACCTAATGGCTGTACAAAGGCTGACAAAGGCTGACACAGTCCGCGTTAGGAGGAGGTTGTGGTGGACAGAAGCGCAGCCAACGTTGTTTCTTTTCTCCGAGACCAACCTTGACTACATGTTTATCATTGTAACCATGACGACGAAGGTCATCTAACCTTAAGGAAGTACGTATTCGAGCTCAAACCACAATCTTGTCCTGGACGTAATCAAGTGGTTTTTGTGCCTCAACTTAACAAACCAAACCAACTTGACCGTGTTTATTATTGTAACCATGACAACGAAGGTTGTATCAGAGGCTAGGGAAAAATGATGTATAAGGTTGATCAGGTTGGACGATTTGTTGGCTTTTCTTCTCTGACTTGTTGCCGTCTTGCACGTCTCACTGTCCGTCTGAGGCTCGAGTCGATACACTTTAGTGAAACGGCTCTTACTGGTAATGAACACTATGCAACATGTCCAAATGCTACTAACCAGACCATTAACTGAACAGATGAATAAATATATCACTAAACAGATAAATAAAAACTTGCTCTTCCTCCGGTTGTATTAATGAACGTGTCAAAACTGTAGATAAAACAGTATTTCCTCAACAGATACGATGGAACTACTGTGATCCACATGTGTGTGAAACTTGCAGTGTTTTTGAATTCATCTCATGACCTTCATCTATCAAAACTACTTTGATGTGTTGCACTCCATGTTGAGGTAATACTTGATAAGTGATGCAGGAGATCAGATTTAATGAATCCACACCACTTCATGCCCCCCACTCGACCTAGAAATGCCAGGAGCGGGCCTCCTGTGGCTGCAGTCAGGTTTTACCCTCCGTTTCCATCTGTTTGAATTTCCCGTGTTTGCTTGTATGCACTCCGTAGGCAACTTCCTGAATTATGATGATTAGATGCTGTAGACCTGACCAAGCCCATTTGTGGTTTTAACCATCCATTTGCAATGTAAAGTCCATTGATATTGATTTTGGTCTGTTTTGTTTCGCCTTTGTTTTGTCCCACTGGTAGAGCACGAGATAACCATTAAACAAGCTAACAAGGGCGGGAAAGAAAAGAAAAAGAAACCCTTTGATCATCATACATTGTTGCATATCATCAAAAATATTAATTTGCATTAATTACATGCGTCAGTCAGTCAGTTAGTCAGTTGGTCAGTCGGTCAACCAACCAGTTTTTTCAGCAGCGAACAAGTCAGTGAGTTAATCAGTCAATCAACCAATGACTCAGTCAACCAATCAGTGGGTTGATTTATCAGCCAAACAATCAACAATTGAATCAATCAGTCAACCAGTCGATCAATAACCGACTCAGTCAATCAGTCAGTTGAGCAATCAGCAAAGTCAGTCAGTCAGTCAGTCAGTCAGTCAGTGAAGCATCAGGTATTTAGTCAGGCTGTCAGCCAACCGTACAGTCAGTTATTTGGCCTTTAAATCTGTCAATAAGTGAGTCAGTGAATCAGTCAACTAACCCTCCAATCATCCCTCAATCAGCCAGACAGAGGGTCGGTCAGTTGATACTAGTTCATCCAACCAGTAACAAGGTGCATCCTCTCTGCAGGTTCAAGCAAAACAAGACCAGCCTGTCTGACGGGCCGAGGGCTTTGCAGGTGCACTTTGAATCACTTTGATTCCAGCTCGCCTGTAAAACTGTAAGTTTGCCACGCCACGCACTGTATAGCTTCGGCCTAGCAGCAAGGCAGTTACAGTTCATCATGAAATATGGGCTAATGTGTGTGTGTGTGTGTGTGTGTGTGTGTGTGTGTGTGTGTGTGTGTCCATAAATCCACATTTCAGATTCAAAAGGAGGAGAGGGTGAGAATCAATTCATGTGTGAGCTGCTGGGGTTGAGCTTTGTTTAGGTAAAACAGCCAGGCTGGGAGGTGAAAGAGTTTTGGTTGTCACACTGAAGTTCCTTTGAATCTAAATTGCAAGTTGAAGCTTTGATGATTTTGGTTGAATGTCAACAAACCCCATGCTGACAGAGTTCCTCCTCACACACACAGGCACATACGCACATGCAAACCTTTCGCTCACAAGAAGAAATGCTTTTCCTGATATGTATATATGTGTTTGCACTGTAGAAAATTATTTTTACTGCTGTGGTGCTGTGTGTCCTACGATGACTTGACCAACAGTAATCATTTATTAGTGTTATTAAAGACAGTTATAAGCCATTGTTTAAGCCTCTAACCATGATAAAAGTCCAAAAACTTTAAAGGAGCTATTTGTTTTGCTAATGCTACATAGCAAGCGTTAGCATCAACAGCTGTTTACTTACAAGTCTAGAAGAAACGTTGCGAGGTCACTTTCCGATACTGAGTCACAGTCTGTCCTGAAGAAGTAGCGCTGCTCAGAGTGCAAATTATAACCTCTTGTAAATGCAGCAATAGCTGAAGCTCTTGCAAGAACTGATTGGTAAACTGCCATCAATGCTAACGCTAGCTAACACTAGCTGTGTCGCAATAACAAAACTTACAAACAGCTCCTATCATTCAGGTCACTTTCCGATACTGAGTCACAGTCTGTCCTGAAGAAGTAGCGCTTTATGTCCCAAGTAATATAATATCCCACTATGTCTTTAATAATTAATGAATGTCCGCTAAGTTCCAAACTCCAGGACGTGTGAAATATCCACGTCAAGCTCAGACTTTCTACTCATTTATTAATTTCTGTCTGACTCCACACGATGGTAAACAGTAGGAAAACCTATTAGTACAACATTTTAAAGAAAACCCCGAGTGCACTCTCTCTGTGCACAATACACAGAGAGAAAATGACATACTCTTTAATGATAGGGAAATTAACACACGCATAAGTGCAGGAAAATGTGTCCTATACTTACGTTTTTATGAACACTGCTACATTTTTGATGAAGCAAATTTCATTAAATTAACTCATTTTAGTTAATTAATAATTCATTTCTCACTGGAGGTGCAAGAGTGCATCTCCTGGCAAGGTTACATTTGAAATCAAAGGAATAGTAAAAGAGGCATCAGAGAGTGGGTGAGCAACACGTGTGAAGTGTGTGCGTTTCATTGCATTACCTGCATAATAAGTATGCAAGGCTGATCATTTTATCTGGCTGCTCTCATTTCACAGACAAGTGACATAAATCGATCCTTTGTTTAAAAGCTCCAAAAAAAAACATCCGTTAATGCTTTCCCGATGAATGAGTCCTTAATGTGCGAATAATGAAGCCTTTGTGTCCATGGTGAACAATTTCACACTTTATGATTCACATCCAACATGGCAATCTAAGTTGCCTCATGTGCCCTTGAGGTGGAAAGTAAATCTGGGCAGATACTGTGGATCTTTATTATCATTATTATTATAAAGAAAATAATCAGCTACAACTTAATATTTTAACCTATAACCTATAAGATGCCCTGTGAACAAACGAACAAAAGTTGTGTTTACTTAAGTGTTACTCCTTGTGACACATTGTGTGTGTGTGTGTGTGTGTGTGTGTGTGTGTGTGTGTGTGTGTGTATACCCCAGAGGTTTGACAAACATGTCAAATGCATTTCCTCCCCCGGCAGCAGAAATATGTATCACATCACCCACATCGACTCGCAGATTAAAAGTTTGACCAGGGATTGAATTCAAGGCCGTTTTAGACTTTCAGGGACCAGAACTTCACTGTTCCACTGAGCCCTGCTGATGCACCATGTCTTTCAGAAGTCAATTCACATTCACATTTAGCCGAAAACATGTAGATGCTTAAATCTGTTTCCATCTCAGAGCTCTTGACGTCCATTTGTTGCTGCCTTTTAAAAATGTAGCCTACACTCTCACCCATGTATACAGCAGGTGTAATTTTATGGGTAGACAGGGAGACATATTTTATTTATTTATATTTTATACAACGACTTGCAATATCTAGCGTTCACTCTTTCCTATTCCATGAAAGCCTGAGAAACAGCCCCTGGCTCCCTTTCAAATGGCCAAACGTGCCTATATCTGAGTTCCTGTCAAAGATGGAGAGAGAGAAAAAAAAGAAAGATGTGCAACAAGTGAGAATAAGGAAGAGCAGCAGGAGCAACACAAGGACTCACACAGGGAGAGAGAAGAAAGGCTGGAACCAGGTGAATACCATTGATTCCCATGCCAGTTAATTACACTTCCCCACCTCTGACATCCAGCTGTGACACAATCAGCTAATAAATCACTCTAAAAACTACCAGATAAATATCTATCTATCTGTCTATTTGAAATAATGATTAGCCAAGACAAACTATTTCATGAGCTCAGAGGAAATCAGTCTTTGTCCCCGAGGCTATAAAATACTGATCAGGCAGCTCATGGATTCTCTCCTGCATTTCTTTTAATTAAATGCGTGTAGAGGAGTTGTTAGATCGATCACGAAGGTTTTCACAGACTTGTGTGAAAGAAGTAAAGTCTCTCTCTGTGCATGTACCTGTCACACAGCTTTTAATCTGTTTCTCTTAATTTGCTGCTTGTTTTATCCAACAACAACAACAACAACAACAAAGGGAAAAAAATAAATACGGTTACGCAACGCTTCCATCGAGTGGTGCTGAACTGACGGTGGTTTGAGACACACGTACACACCCCACCCCGGCGCCTCATGTTGAGGGCTTCTGTCCCCCAGCGTTAAAAGGCGCTGTGGGTGATAAAAGCTCAGGCGCATATAGCGCTGAACCGGTGGTCGCGCATGAAAAAGGAGCGCACCTCTCCGGACCCGGAGCGCACGGCGGAGAGGGGCGGACCCAACGTGACACCGGCATCTGCTGTCTGACTCTTCACTCACTCGCCAACTAGCTCTCTAGGGCTGGATAGCTAAGCGTTGACAAATTCCCCCTCTCTTCAATAAAAGGTGCCACATGCGCGCACGGTGCGGCACAGGACTCCTCCATGCGCCTTCGCTTCTCCAGATGGGTTGAGCGAGTGAAAAAGCACCGAGACCGGACGGTTCCGTCCCGCGGTGCAAACTTCGGGCTGGTCCAAACTTCGCGGCTCAGCCCGGCATGATCGTTCCCAACGCGAGCCTAAGCTGCGCGCACTGTCCCGGGGGAGGAGCCGGCGCCACGGCGGCGACGGTGACGGCGACGGATGCGTACGAAGAGGTGTCCGGCGCTCTGCCTCCTCCGTCCCTGAGCCCGACGGGGCACCTGGTGGTGGCGGTGTGCCTCGGCTTCATCGGAACCTTCGGGTTCCTCAGTAACTTCCTGGTTCTCATGCTGTTCTGCCGGTACCGGGCTCTGCGCACGCCCATGAACCTCCTGCTAGTGAGCATCTCTCTCAGCGACCTGCTGGTCAGCGTGCTGGGCACCCCGTTCAGCTTCGCGGCCAGCACCCAGGGGCGGTGGCTGATCGGACGCACTGGGTGCGTTTGGTACGGGTTCGTGAACGCATTTTTGGGTAAGCAGGTGTTTGTTTTTCATTTTCTTTGGCATGTGTCACCGGAGACTGAATGAACCAAAGCAGCCTCTTCCAGGTCATTTAATCAAGAATGTAATCTTTAAATCTTATCCTTCTCCAGCTTGTTGTGATTTCTTCACCCTCACAGGAGAGAAATAGAGATGAAATATTGATTTTCTTTTCACTTATTTCTCCTGCCAGTCAGATAGTGACTGTGTGTAATTATTGGACACTGTCTTGTCCTCAGGATGCCATTTTTCACTTTGACCTGTCAGGAAAATTGACTAAATTGAAGCTCATCAGTTCTGATATGTTTTATTTGTTTTGCTGCTCAACACACTGTATTTACCTCGTTTTCTTTCTGTAGCTGCTTGCCAGAAGAAAACGCTCATCCCTTGCCTGCAGCAAACTCACTCAAAACGTTAACATGATTAAAATCCTGTAAACCCATTTAATTCTGCATTTAATTTCAATTAAAATCCTATTAAGTTGTGAAGGTGTAATGTGCTGCTCACTGCTGATTATGTTCAGCTTTGCTAAGCTTGCAAACTGAATTTCCTTCAGGGACATAAATCCTAATAGGATCTGGTAATGTGTCATAATTCAGATTTAGTCCCAGATGTGACAATACATTTTGGGGGAAGGAGTTTAGCTGCAGAAGAGATGAACAAAATCACAGAAGAGGCATTTCTGATCGTGTTATATAATAGATCTGCTCTGGTTGGGCTCTTGACTTGATCATCAGAGGGTGTGTCTGGTGTTTGGATTGGACTGTTGAATCAACCTTTGACCTTTTCAGTTTCAGGACAATCACTTTATTGACTGTCCAGGGTTGATTAATGTCACCCCTCTGCTCAGAGACCATGGGATCCTAATTTCCTGAGGCCAAAAAGCGAACAGAGATGTTGACTGGGGGTGGTCTTGCTGTATTTGTTAGTGTTTTCATGGCTCCTATCAGACGTTTTGTCATTGCACTGTGATTGAGAGCAATTGTAAGTGACTAATCAGCCTGTTAAGTACATCTCTATCTTTCTAGTTACTTTCAGTGCTCTCTGGAGAGGCCTTGTTACTCTTAAAGCTGTTGTTTTTCTCTCTGGAGTCTAGACTTGCAGTAATTTGAAGTAAGGGGTTGTTGCTCTTATATCTGTTTTCTGTTCGTACCACTTCCAGTCAGGATGCAGTTTTCTCATCTTTCCCCCATCGGAACTGAAGAATCGCGACGAAATTCCCTCCATAACTCCGCCATTCAGCTAATGACAGGCCCAGCAGCTTTCCAATAAAACCCTGAAAGCTACAAGCTGTAATGAGACATGCGCAATTTATATCCACAGTTTACCCATGACCTGAGAACTTGCACGATTAATTTTGCACACCGTTTCTCTGTGGTGTGTTTTTTTTAAGAGCAGCTGCAGAATAAACAAGCAACAACCAATAGCTGGAAAATTGTACCTGACAAGATCAAAGGCTCACTGTAGAAACAGAGCTGACTTGGAGGCTTTAGAGATTCAGTTCTGGACTGGTCTGGTCACTGGCTTTGTAAGACAACCGCAATGGAGAGATAAATCACCCAGCATGAAAGATTTATGTGAGCAGTGAGTGACTGATGACAGTTTGGCGAGAACCGATCGGATTGTGGAAAAAGAAAGAAAAAGAAAGAAAGTGCGGATCTGTTCAAAAAAAAATAAAAGGCCAGAAATAACCTTTAGGGTCAAATTGGAAAGCTTGTAAACAATGGCAGAAATATAGTGCAGCAGAAGTAATAGTTTATTAAAAAAAAAAGAAAAAAAAGAAAATTGTGGTAGTGGAAAAAAGTATTATCTGTTGTGTGAGGGAGTTACTTCTTAGAAGAGAGAGCATTGTTGGATTTGATCCTTACAAGAATGAGGTTGAACTCTGCCGAGTTCACAGCAGATTGTGTTTTAAGTGGAAAAAATATCAGCCTGAGGAGGAGATGTAGCTTGAATTGCGTCGCCTCTTTAGAATGCATGTTTAGCTACGTTATCTTTGTGTGAAGTGCATTAAATTTGTGCAATTCTCAGCAATTTTTTTTTTTTTTTAACATGCGAGTGGCTTCCCAGTGTCTCTTTGTTGATATGCAAGTGCACAGTAAGTAAAAAAATTCTGCAACTGCTCAATTAGCTCAAATTACAGCGTCTACGCAAAGACACTTATATAGTCCAACTGTGCTGAAGTGCACCGCTTATGTTCAGACTTAACTTATGTAAAAACTGGAATTACAGAATTCAAAAAATACCCCAAAAAGTACAAGTGTAGGAAAACACATTATTCTGTTGAGTCAGTCTGATTAAAAAAAATAAAAAAGACACACGATCACACTCAGGACCACAAAAATAAATAAAATAAATAAATAAAAGGGATCCACTGAGTTTGGCAGGACTGGAGGGAAAACCCTCCGACTGTAAGAGCTGAGATGGAACCGGCTCTGTTTGTTAATGAGACACTGTCCGCCCCGCTGCAATTACCCAGACAACATCAGAGCTACTGTACCATGCACTCAGGGGCTGTTAGGAAGCTTGTAATCAAGCCTCATCGGGTCACTCTCGCTGGAATAAGATCTTGTTCAAGAAGTCAGAGGGCTGTTCTCTACTCTCTCCTGCTCCCTCTTTCTCATTTCTCTCTCTCTCTCTCTCTCTCTCTGTTATCCTCTCTTTCACGCAGTCTGCAATCACAACACTGCAGAGGGCAACAGGTGCAGGATTTGGGAAACTGTTCACTATTGTTGTGACGTTTTATGGACTAACAATCAATGTAGTAAGTAATCATGAAAAATAATTGGCAGGCTGTTTCCTGCAGCCATATATTCTTTTATCCAGCGATTCTTTCCTTTGTTTGAAGTTTTCATCATTCACACACATAAAACGTCAGTTAGAAACCTGGTTATGCTCGACACGGTCAAGACATTCACAAGAAATCTAGCTGCGGAAATCAGGTTTCACTAATCCCCTTAAGCTGATTACGGAAACCAGATTTCTTTTTTTTTTTTAAAGTGACTTTGAAAAACTTAGGTTACTCCAGAAAGCTGTCAGTAAAAGGATTACTTATAGTAAATGCATGTAAACACACTGACAGTGTGTAGGAAGTTGTGCTGAGTGGTCAGCATTGGAGAAATGGTCTGATTTGGCACAAGTGCTTTTGCTTTGCCATCAGTTGGATCTGGAACAAGACTGAAGATAAAGGGGGGAACAAGAGGGAGGCAGAGGTGAGATGGAAAGTAACAGAGAGTGAGAGGGGAGCAGCGGGAAAGAGCAAGAGGCTAATGCAGGCTGAGGAAGAGAGGAGGAGAAAGAGGAGACAAAGAAAACAACTTGGATGAGGTGAAGAGAGAGGGAGAAGCAGAGAAGCAGAGAAATGGTGAAAGATGATTAGCTCCTGTGCTGACTCAGGACCCTGGGACGCTGGGTCATTTATTTTACCTTAAATCTATTCCACACCGCTCCGGAGTTGAGTTAAGAAGAATCGGGCCTTGGAGGAGAAACCCTTTAAAATGCATGCTGGGGAATCAAAGCGGGCCATGTTTGAATCAAAGCCAATGTTAGGGAGTGATTTGCTCCCCGAATCCCCACCAGGCTCAGGGTAGAGACTGTGCAATCATTACAAGACAGGATTGGAGAAATGGTCGCTCGGGAAGAGAGGCTGCCTTTGTTGCTGAGGTAGCAGAGCGTTCATATTAAAAGAATCCACTATAACAGGCCAGAGAGGCAATGGGTGTTTTTTATATTTCATATTTGTTTACCCGTGATCACATAAGTATTTAATAATCTCACCACAATTCGTTGTCTTGTCGTTGTACCCTCCATAATAATCCTGCATGTGATCAATGTGTGCCTTTGGTCATCAGCAGCTAATTTAAAATAAACAACTGCAGATTGGAAAGGCGATCAGGCGACGTCCGTCAGCGCGGTCAGTGACGTTCACCAGATGTTTGCTTTTCTCAAAGCATTGGCAGATATTAAATTATTCATTATAGAAGACAAGAAAACAAAACATTGAAGCTCGACTAATCAATATTTGTTGTATTAATAATAGATCAAATGAATCCCGTGTGAGGGATGTAGCTTGTTGTTTTCATGAACCTCCAGAAGCTGCGGTCCTCCTCCTCTTTTAGCGTCTTTCAGCTCGTTGTTTTGTTTTGTTTTTGGTTTTCATCGAGTGAATGATGCTGTTGCTCCATGTCTGCGGTCTGGAGGTGTAAATACACAACTGCCATCAACTTCATAAGGTGATCACAAGGTCATGTTGGATATTCAGCTTGTTCCATTGCCCCCCCCCCCCCCCCCCCCCCCCCCCCCAAGTCGCCAAAAAAAAAAAAAAATACTGAATACAGCTTCACAATTAATTAACACCCATAACTTCTCTATAGCGTTGACTTTTATTGCTTTGGCCCACTGGATCCCAACCTTTTTGGCTTGTGGACCATCAGTCTGCACCAATCAATACATTCTGACATGGCAAAGATCCGACTGGGATCGACCCTTAAATAAATTTAAGGTTCGGAGTCGCTGTGCAGACGTTACTCTTTTCATCGGTGCTGGCCTCAGATAGCCTTGTGCCTATGTGTATAATTTATATGACACACTTTTTTTTTTTTTTTAAGTGTCCCTTTATGGCCAAGCAATCTCCACTTTCTTGGCTATAAAACCCTCTTCACTGGTTACTTAGGTCCATGAGCTGAAAGCAGTTTAACAAAGGAGTGATGTTCACGTCTTAGATTGTTTTGTTTTAGTTGTTTTTAGAGACATATAGAGGCGATTTTCACAACAAAACACACAGGTGACAGCCGAGTAAAACAACATGTCAACTTATTCAAACAGAATAAGTTCAGATATTGTAACTATATAAAAGCTATTTTTTCTTTATTTTTGTTTTAATTCTTTGTCATATTATCTGTGTAACCCGTAAAGGCAAACCTGTGGAGTCCACGTGCTTTATCTACCCAGAGTGCATCAGTAATGAATAGAGCCCTCTTCAACTGAAAACACACACACACACACACACACATCGTTTTCACATTAATGTCCAGCCTGAACAGACCATCACACAAACACAACATCATTTCCATTCCATCCCTCACTCGTTGCTGTTGCTCTCAACACGACACATCGTGCAGCCATTCCCCCAGCCAGCTGTCCAAACCCGCCACCACCGCGGAAAAGCCTTCATTATGCATCGAGCTGCCGTGATTGTGTGTAATCAATGTCTCTGTCCCTGGTAGACTCGGTGTGATGGAGGTAAAGTGCCCCTGGCCCCGCCACTTTAGCTCGCATGTGCTGATTAGCTCTGATTTAAGACTTGAGCAACAATTCACTCCAGCGGCACATGCTCATCAATTAGCGATTAGCATGTAGAAGACGGCGGCCTCCGTCTCTGTGCGTGTTTCTTCAGTGTGAACAGGTTATAATGATAATTAACCTGAGCACTGAGGATGGAGTGACACAGTGAGCTAATGATTTAAGGCTGAGTCACAATACAGAGGTTCCTGGTTCGCTCCTCTCACGGTACTGAAAATAAAGTCTGACTGGAAAATAAACTAGAAGAAGAAGAAGTAGCTGTGTAAAAACAAAAACGGAGAAACTGATTTGTATTCAACAAGTCAAATCAAAGAGCTTTACATAAGACGTACGAGACATTAAGCCAATATATAGAACAAACACAAGGTAATATAAAAGACACATATACACAGGTTTTCGGAGCGTATTTGATGAATGATGCCATTATTTTCTAAATCTAAAGGGACGCTCGGAGGCACTTTTATTGCAAACAAAGAAAATTAAAAGATACAAATAAAGACAAAAAGAAGCAGATTTGCTGCAAACTGTGGCCTGGGTTGAGGATGTTTTCAAAAGCGAGTGAAAACACATGGTTTATGAGTCGACACGGTGACTGACAGAAGCAGAAAGAAGAAGGTCTGAAGGGAAAGAAGGAGTTTGGAAATCTGGCTGTTGACCTGTTGCACGTACGCAATGGCAGCTTGTTAGCTTGACGAAGATCAGTCGGACTCTTCTGTTGTCGATCGGGTGTCTGAGAAACCGTCCCTGTGATCTAAACAAGCAGAACATTTATTTTAGATGCAGCTTGCTCATTATCCCGGAGTGGGCGAGAACACAGATGCTCCAAATCTGAAAAATCGGTGCCCCGCTCACTTTCAGATTTTTAAAAACCTTTAATTTATTTATGAAACCAAATAAGTAAATAAATAAAAATTGCACTACTGCACTATACCGAGTCCATCTTAAAAACCTACTTATTTAAACAAATCAAACCAGAGTCTTTTTGACAAGAGTTTTCACATCTAGAATAAAGGTTTCACGGGTCTTTAAATGGCCAGAAGAACAGTAGTGACATTGCCCCCTTTTTGTGTTTTCATGCATCTGTGTTTCAAGCTAATCCGTGACTGGAGTCTTCCCGTTAATCAAGTCCAGGTTTGATCAGTAGAACTTTAAGGGTTTTGAAGCCAAACCTGGTCTATTGCAGTCTGGATGGAGATAATGAAGGAAATTGCCTCTTATTTTTTGCTTTCATTAATAAAGTAAAGGTTTCACAAATCTGAAAGTGGGTTTTAAAACAGTGTTAAGGTTTTAATCACAATGTCTAGCACCCTTTTACAACAATGAGTGGCTCAGTATTAAAACTTCAGTTTCCTTTAACTTTCTCCTCAACAGCTCCTTCTTGTGTTTTGCCACATTAATGCCACTCACCACTTGTCCTGTCCTCCCCCTCCCTCAGGCATCGTGTCCCTCATATCCCTGGCCGTTCTCTCCTACGAGCGCTACTGCACCATGATGGCGCCCACTATAGCCGACGGTAGAGACTACCGCTCGGCGCTGGGGGGGATCTGCTTCTCCTGGCTTTACTCTGTGGCCTGGACTGTTCCTCCGCTGCTGGGCTGGAGCAAATACGGGCCCGAGGGCCCCGGCACCACCTGCTCGGTCGACTGGAAGACCAAGACGCCAAACAATATCTCCTACATCGTCTGCCTGTTCACCTTCTGCCTGGTCCTGCCGTTCGGCGTCATCGTCTACTCCTATGGGAAGCTGCTGCTCGCCATCAGACAGGTGCGATTCTGCAAATATGAATGTTATATTTGAGATGTAAATCGCAGAGCAGGGTTTTTAGTGTTAAAACAACTTCCAGCTGGCTGGGTGTGAGCCAGGAGATCTGAGATACGATACCAGGAAGAAAAGTGTGTTCATAAGTGCATTCAAATGCACACCAGCAGTGCGCCCTCTAATCTGTGACCTTAACCGATCCCCGACTGTTTCAAACTCCTCCAGGCAGTCCCAACCTTCAATCTGTGGCTGCAAGAGCTGACGAGAGGAAAGAATATGAGTTCATACATTTCAAAGACTTGAGTTTCAAAGCTGAGAAATGAAGCCATGCATCAGCTGATCTCAGCCATCTCCAATCAGGTTTGACATCTCAACAATGTAGTCTATTAAAGCTGCCAACACCAATTTATTCTCTTGCCCGCTGCTTCACTGCTGAGGATGCTCAGGCCAAACAATCACAATGGGATTTTTCGGAAGCCATCCCCTCTATGCAAGGACATAATTTACACCTTGATGCAGGGACGTTAGAGCCTGAGACACGACCTGATTTCTGAATGACGGCAGTAATTTGCATCCAGATGTTGCTGCTGAACTGTGTCAGCTGCTGTCATGGTTTCCTGAAAGTAAAACTAAAAGTAAATTGTCCTTACTGAAGCCGAGTTTTGAGAGAACAAAGGGTATTTTCAAATTTGTTGGCGGCTGTTATATGAAACAAACACCAAGGATGAAGGGTGTACGATGTGTATCGCATTTCAAGATGCACACGTTTGCTTGGATATAATGTATGTTCAGGAGTGATCTTTCCATTTCTCCTCTTTCCTGACTCATAAATGAAATGTCAACTAGCTAAACTAGTTTTTTTTTGGTTGTGAGAGACACAAAGAGACAGGACAAGTAAACTAAAGTAAACAGAAACTGGTACACAAATGAAGTATGTTAGGGAGAAAAAGGGCTGTAATCATTGCTTGTTTATATTAGGATTCATGGCAGCCTTATTTAAAATCCAGCAAGTACAAAAAAAAGAGAGAGAACTTCACACTAAGGTTGCAATTTATGAAAATTTAATAGTCAGTTGAACTGCTGATTACTCTCTCAATTAACTCATCAATTGTTTGGCCTACAAAATGTCAAAAGATAGTTAAAAATGCCATCGCAGAAGCAGCAAGATTTGAGCAGCTGGAGCGAGGAAATGTCAGGCGTCTTTTTTTTTTTTCTTTTGCTTAAAACTGACAAAATAGTCAAAATAGCTCTAGTTCACAAACCTTAATTTATCAAGATGCTCTTTACATTTGATTCGGCATAGATGGGTAAATGTTCAGCTGCACATCAATAGAAACTGATCAACTGAATTAAAAGAGCTTCCTGATAGATAGATTTGGGTGAGTGATATCTCCTTCTTTCTGACTGTGGGTTACACATGCAAACTCTCTTTTTGTCTTTAGTTAAAGTGTAGTGTTTCCTTCTAGCTTAATTTGAAATGCAACTCTGCCACCTTGCTCCCATGGAGGCTAACGATATTAGCCTGGGAACATATTGTTGCAGGTGGATCGCTGAAGTTCACACATGCATTAGCTGATTGGCATCAGCTGCTTCATGCATGCTGCACCATCACTGGCTCATTCACCTTTGCCTGTCTACCAGCTGGTAATGGAGCCGACAAGGACGTGCTAAAACCTGCAGTTCTTCAAATGTCCACTTGAGACTGGCCCCAAAAGTCAGTAGATCCCCATAGACTCCCATGCTAAAAGGCCCGTATTTACAGCAGAAATAAACATGTTCAAAAAAACGGTATAGCTAATTTCCTCTGTCATGACAACTGGAGGGGATTAGCTGGGAGTTTGGTGGAGTCAGGCACTGCCAAGATGGCGACGGCGAAGCAGCCCACTCCGCTCTTCACAAACCTGAGGGTGACGTCACGGTCTTTGGTTTATACAGGTGCAGGAGGTCTTTCTCACTGCTCTTGCCTTCGCTGTTTGCTGCTACACCCTCCAACACCGCAGCTTCATCCTTATGTGCTGAGGTTTTGATGACTTAATTAAGATCTGATGTTTATGCATGTGTTTGTTAAAGTGGCTCCTCATTGCCTGCTTTGACAGCTTCCACAAAGAGCACATCCTTCTCCACCAAATCTAAGTGTATGGATGCAGTTCTGAGGATCTGAGATCTGACCCAGGACCTGAGTCGGACTGGGTCCAAATTATATAGTCAGTCTAATTGAGTAGGGTTTCATTTTACTGCCATGGGTCACTGCATCAAAATGTCTAATAAAGCCGAGTGGCTCTGCATCAATGCGAGTGTATTCTCAGTATTAGCTCTGGTCACGTGGTCTAGCATAACCACCCTGGGAGAAGACAGGTTAGGAAATTATGCTATTAAGTGAAAATTACTTTTTGAAATATCATTTGCAGATATTAAATTGGTTTGAAAATTATTATTGTCGGAGGTGAAATCAGTCTCTGAAGCATATGAGCAATTATTTTTGGAAATAATTTTACTTCACATTGGATTTCAGGTAATTGTTATTATATAGCTGCTCTTTTGACATTTGTGTTTTCACTCTATTAAGGTGTGTGGTGGTTGAGCTCATTTTGAATCAGGTCTTTTCAGTTTGGGTGTGACTGTACTCTGGTCTCTCTGGTTTAAAAATGAATTTATGATTGTCAGGTTTTCTGTGTAACTATAATTGTACAACTGTCTTTGACTGAAATGTTGCTTGTGTGGGGTGAATTCTGCTAATATTACAAGTACTAATTTTACTCTGACATAACAATGGAGGAGTTTGGAGTCGCAGTGAAACAAAGCTGAGGAAACAGCAAGTTACAGGGAAGTTTAGAGTCGTACTTTTGGGTGATAGCTGGGAGAATTTCAAAGAGTCAAGTTAGAAAGCTGAGAACAGTCATTAGGAACGGGAGTAGAGAGCAGCACACAGGTTCTGTGTTCAGGCTGGTGTTAATGACAGGATTATAGACGACTGTCTTCATTACACTGCCGAGGCGCTGCTTTAAACCTCAAGGCTACAGACCTTCGCACCCACTGTCAGCTAATCACAGGAGACAAAATCTCTTCATTTAGTAGTGTGTATGTGTTTATGTGTGTGCGCACGCTTGTGTGTGTGTGTGTGTGTGCACAGAGAGCATGCATTCATATTGTTTCAGGGAACGTGGGTGGGTTTAAATGACCTGAGGAGGAGTTTATATTCTACAATCATACACGAATTACACAGAGCAGGTTTTGAAAGTTGACGAAATTTTTAGTCTCAGTGTGCCTCATGTAAGAAGCACAAACAGATTGGTTCTGAAGTGGCACGTACCAATTTCCTTTTTTCTTTTACTTAGTTTCAGACCTGTTGAACGAGTCATGTTCGGATAGTTTGTCTTTCATGAATTAAATCAAATTTAATTGGTCAGTTGAATGAATAAGTAAATGTGAAAAGATAAAATTGGTGGGTTGGACTATTTCTAAACTCCTGGTTGTATATCTGTGCGGTTTTGTGTGTTTGACGAGTTCGCCACGACAAGCAGGCAAGTGTGACTTGCACGATGTTGATACGTTCTGATGATACATTACTTCTTAAATGCGAATCTGTTTGGCAGCTTCACGCATACAGACTGTTTCTAAGAAGTACGCTGGCCTCACTGTTTGGTTGTGCGTCATATGTCTTCCTTTAACTTTGTGTGGGACGGTTAAATCTGTTTGTTTCTCGGCTGTGAACTCTGTTTGTTTCAGGCCTGGGTGTTGATGCGTTGATGCTGTTTGCACAAGAATTTAATTTCCCACACCATTTGCTGGTTCATGTGCCATGCCTCTGTGGGTTTCTGCCATGCCTGCAAGCACACTGAACTTTCTTTTTTTTTTATTGCTGTTGTTGCTTTTTTCCAAATTAGGTGTATTTGTATGAAATTATAAAAAGTGAATTGAATTTCCTCAAAATTGCAAAAAGTGCTCACTAGAAGAAAATGGCAAATGGTTGTTGCTACAATTATTACTATTGCACGTCTTTCCCTTCCATTAAGACACATTTTATGGTTGTATAATGATTAAATGGTGCATTTCGTGTGAGGGAGTCATTTTTCCAAATCCACAGTTCAGTTCCTGCCCCATTTCTCTCAATCTGGCCGAAGGGGGGCTAATTAAACTAGCCCAACTCTTACTGCAGATGTGATTACTCGATCATGATTGAAATAGGTTGGCTGCATTCCCTCATCCGGTGCAGTTTTCCTAGAGTGTTTTTTGAATTCTGAGTGCCAGCAACAGAGATTTTATACAACCTGGAAATTCAAAAATGGCTCTTATTATTTAATTGTAAATGGTCTGATTTGTTAACTTTTAAAAGACATAACTTTTAAACCCTTTGGGTGCCTAATGACAATGAGACTTTTGTAAGTCCTTGTCAACCCGCGTCGCTTATGGAGTACCGCAGGGATCAATCCTTGGCCCTTTACTATTATCCATTTACAGACTTACGAATATGTCAAAAGATGATTCCCACATTATTACAATGAATTCATTTTTATACATTTTTATTTGTTCAATTATGTTTGATATTCATATTCATTTGATTTCTCTTTGATTTATGCATTATTGTTATTTTTTGGCCATGTAGCTTGTTTTTCAGCAGCGTGCAGTTTTGGTGTCACATAATGACATTGAGGGACGGTTGAGAAAGGTGTTTGTGATTTTGTCTCTTGATAGTTTTTTGTTCTCAGCAAGCCCATAAGGCTCTTTACAGATAACTGTCTTTGTCTCATGGGTCAGTTTTGCATTTGCAAGTGTTTCGGTTCGCTAGAAACTGTATGCAACAAAGTCCAACAACACACAGAATTCGTAGCTGGTGGCGATCCATTTTTATTAAACTATCATCTAAATGAACCAAACTGATAAGAGGTCCAGCTCATTAGGGCAAACACATTGACAGAATCTGAAAACAAGAATCCTAGATAACAACTTCAGTTAATGAACTGATAACTATTCTAATCATATTCAGGGCTTTGCTGCGATGAGATGAT